CTCAGGTATACAGAAATCATAAAAATGCAGGAAATGTTTCTTTTATACTTTTAAATTGAGAGACAGCAATTTAACTATGACACAAAGTTCATGTAACAGATGGAGCAATGAAAAAAACACATCAGTTGAACAGTTGCCCTCTATTGGAAAGGCATGCTCTCAACAGTTTTTAACTGGAGATCTGAGTTTCAAAGGTAAATAGTTGAATACAAGTGCTTTTAAATGGTGAGCCACAGACTTCATTTTAGCCGGACAGATGTGTCCTCTCTTAGGGACATCACTGGGGTCACTGTGATGAGCACCTTGTTAATCTAAATTGATATGTATAACAGTCCCAATCAGCCCAAGGCAAAGGGCGAGCTCTGGACAAGGAATGGCCCTTGCTGGCGGTTCCCAGGACAGTAGACACATCAACCTTTCACCTTTGCAACCCAGACCAAAGATGACATATCCAGATTATTCATTAGGCCTCCATGTGCATACAGAGGTTCTCACTGCTGAGGAATGAAACCTCAACAATGGACACACCCACTGCGTGGGACAACTGGGCAGTCACAGGCCAACTGCTTCCCCCTCGTTCACCCACGTAGGAGGCAGTGCAGGGGCCACTGATCCCCTCAGCCAAGCCCTCACTAAGAATGTGGCACCATGCATCTTCCTCTGGAAAATCCACAGCTGAATTCTGTTGCTAGTTCTTCCTCAGTCAGATGCACGAGACATGATGTTTGGGTTTTCCAAAGGATTCCTTCCCAGCCCTCCCTGCCCTCTGGCTTTCCCCTCTTCACACTCTAAGCTTGCTCAGCAAAGACATAAAACATCTCCCTCCCAGGCAGGAGGTGAGGAGAACCTCGTACACAGGCGCAGACAGGTGGTAAGGCAGTTTCACCAGCTTCAGCACAAATTTGATACTTTAAAAATTCAAGATGCACCCAGCACAGGAGGAAGTGAGGAGAAAGGGCGGCCCAGCGGTCTGCCAGCCAGGACTCGGTGCTGAGCTGAACAGTGGAGAAGAGTGTTGAGCCCCATCTGGGACATGTGTATAGACTCCCATAAAAATAGATTTTTTTTTGGCGGCTGATTGGTAAGGGGATCTGAACCCTTGACCTTGAAAAATGGAAAAGTTTCATAGCATTTTGTTCCTCACAATTTCTGAATGTCTTTGAACCAATAATCATTGTTATAACTTCTTTCTGCTTTTCTACCCCTCCATTTTTCTACCTTAAGGCATTTATTAGTCCCACGCAGAGGGCTCACAAGAGAGAACACTTCTAAACTGCTAGAAGGTTTGATCAGCACACAGAACAAAATTAAGATCCTTTACCACTGTTTAAGTAAATTTAGAACCCAAAGTTACTGGTTACTTTTAAAGTGTCTGCCTACTACGCTCTTACACATTTGCTTTTAAAAGGCAGCAAAGTTTTTCCAAAGACTCCCTTCTCCAGGCCTCTCAGGAATAAAGGTCCCTGAATAAAAAGAAAGTCTCAGAGAAAGGCTGCGGCTGTGGCTGCAGCTGCCAGTGGTGTTTAGAGGCCCGCCTCACCAAAGTCACAGCACAAACCTGGCTTCTGGGATTACTGGAAGGCTTTAAAAGAGGTGATCCAGAGCAAGGTGAGCAGGCGGCGCCCTGCCCTGGTTTGGTGCCCAGTGAGGGCTTCTGACACTGTGCACGGTGAACTCACCCTCCTGCTGGCTGGGAGCAGAACTCTTGGGCCATTGTCTGTGCTTTTCATCTAGGCGGTTCAGGACGTGTTTGAAAAGTAGTTAACAGCCTCCTCTTGCCAATTGCTGTGTTTTATTCCAGAGGCTGGGTTAGAAAAGATATTTTTGCTCACGATAATGTTTATGTTGAAAAACTTTGAAAAATGTCAATGAGGAAGCTCAAATTTTGGTGAGTAAACTACAAAAATGCTCCCCAAATTTCTTAGTGGCTACTGTGGGAGCAGCATGGCATTGCACCTTACACATCTGAGGTCAGGAAGCTCCGTGACTGGCCCTCCCAGTGCCCGCCCTAGGTCTGTAGGAGCCACTACTCAGAAGCACATCCAAGGAGGAGAAGAGCCCACCCACCCCTCTCCTGTGCCCTCTTCTCCTCGAGCTGTCGGGCACCTTTAGTTCTGGTCTTGGAGAACACCTTGCACTCTGTCCTCCTGCCTGCAGAAGTGCTCTGCTGGCTGTCAAAGAAAGGGGGCAGGAGTCAGAGGGGCAGAGTGGACTGGAGCAGCATCGCCCGCATTGACCCGAACCAGCCTAGGCTGGATCATGCAGCCCCTCCCCAGGGCTAACACCCAGCTCTCCATCGAGCCCTGACCCCAATGAAGGGAGCCTTGGGGAGGGGGAAGAGATGCAGCAAGGGGGCCTCAGACAGACATTAAAGTACCACACTCATTAGTAGAAATTGAAAAGAAAAAGATTGTGACCAAGGCCCAAATCCAAAACTGTGATATCATCCTAGTTTTTAAAACTGAAGGTGGAAGTGGAGACACACACACACACACACACACACACGCAGGTTTCTATTAGGCCGCACATTTCACAGCTTACGTTCTTAAGGAAACAGTAATATCCTCTTCTTGCTTCCCACCCCGCCTCCCTTCCCATTAACAGCTAACTCCCAAGTCACAATAGCACTGCAGCTCAGCAATTCCTCCTTAATCCCAGCAGGTGCAGCTGGGCACGTTAAAGGAGGGAAGAAATCAGAAACTGCCCAGGTGGTTGTTGGTTACATAGGTATACATGCCCAGCTTCCTTGCCAGTGAGCAATCCCTTAAGAATTGAAAGGTCATCATAAATTTTGGCACAAATGCCACTTACCTGTGATCAGCCACTCTCCATTTATGTTAAATACAAAGTCCTGAATTTTGAAACTGCATATTCAATGCCTCAGAAGCATTTGAAAATGACTTTCTAAAACTATGTAGGTACATAAAATTGCACAGGGAGCTGTCATTATAATCTCTCCAGTGACAGCCCCTTGTGGCCTCCAAAGTTGGAACAGTCCACAGGATGGCTGTCTTTGCTACCTTAGATCAGTTAACCTTTAGGAACAAAGGACTGTATTTTAAAGGTAGATGGTACATTAACATTCCCATGAAGTGCTGCTTAAGGGACATGAAATGCATAACAGAGATGAGGTGCCCCCGGAAGGCTGAGTGGCTCTCCTGCGGCAGCCCCATGCCATCACTATCACACTGCAGAGAAACCGCCTGCATTGAGGAAAACGGTGGGGCCGGGTGAATGGAGCCAGCCATGACATGTTCCAAGCCATAAGCAGGCCCAGCGAGCCGGCCTGGCTTTCAAGGACGGGCTGCGTTAAGAGAACAGAGAACTGCTGCTCCCTCTACCAGGGTCTTTACACTGCAGAGAAATAAAGTCGCCAGGTCTTCACTTTGCTGAATCGCATTCACTACTCAAACCAGTATAAATTATCACTACCTCTATATTTAATTACAAAGGTGTGCAAGACAGACAAACATACCTAAATGCCCGAAATAAGTTAACAAATAAGATAATTACCATTTTGACATAAAATATATAGCTCAAAGAACCATCTCATCCATGCGAAACTGGGATCTGAAAAGAAATTCCTTACACAGCTAAGGATCATAAGGAATTAGAATCAAATACTGCAGTTTCCCATGGAAGCAGCACAGCCTCCCTGCCGCAGAGGGAGTCCACACAGCACCGCTTCTGAGTGGCCACAGGCCATCAGGGCCCTGGGGGCAAGAGCTCGGGGTGGGAGCCACTTGGACGGAGCCTGAGTGTCAGGCCAGCATCAGCATCCCAAGAGTCATCCCGGAATCACAACTGCCATCCAAGAATAAGAAAACGGAAACCTGCACCTGTGCCTCCCTTAGGGGTCGGGGGGACTAAACCCAACAAGTGCCACGTCAGGAAGTACTCTGACGTCTCGGGGAGTCTAACAGTCTTTACAAAACAAAGCAGAGGAGTCTGCCCATGGCCTAAAGTCACGTGCCTTTCTGACCACCCCCCCAAAAACAATAAAAAATCCTTTTTCCCTCATTGGGAAAACACATAAGCAAAGTGTGTCTGACATAAAAGACCTCAGCTTATGTGACAAGAGGCACTTCTGACAATTGCTATGGGCATCCTCAGCCCTCAGTTCATGTTAACTGTCCAGGCTCTGGGCAACGTGGATATTTTAGTGCACGGGAAAACACATAAGCAAAGTGTGTCTGACATAAAAGACCTCAGCTTATGTGACAAGAGGCACTTCTGACAATTGCTATGGGCGTCCTCAGCCCTCAGTTCATGTTAACTGTCCAGGCTCTGGGCAACGTGGATATTTTAGTGCACAGAATCTCAATCAAAGTGCTACAAACTGCTTCTTTGAAAAAAGATGTTTATTAAACAATTTTAATTGTCATAAAATGACTAAAATGGGTTTTAAAAATTAAGGCTCTTCTCTTTCTGTGGATTGCCAGAACAATGTAAAAATAATATCAATCAACCCTGCTGAACGTTTTGTTCCTAAAGTTAAATTTCATATTCCTAAACATTTTACGATTAAGATAAAAAACTGGACTACAAATGACAATTAATGGCCATCTGTACTGAACACACACTCTGATCAGGTGTACAATATTCTAATTGAGTAATTAAGCAAAAATATTCCAGTTAAAGCATAAAATTTAGCATTTTAAAGTTATCGTTTCCCCACCCTGTCATGATTTTCCTAAAATTGAAATAGTCTAATACAGGAGCGCTACCTTTGGGACTCTATATATTCCCAGGAGGATGACTGACTTGGCTGGCAATTAGCTTGATTATATTTTTTAAATGCTCTAAAGTGAATTATCAAACGATTCAGAATTACATGGCATGCAGTATCCAAAATTATGGCTCTGATGCATTTAGATTTACATTAAGAATAAGAAGTGTCATTCACATTCATTGTACACCCCACCCCTCCCTCAAGGAAAAAAAAAATCACTACCTATTCAAGTTCTAGATCTGGCGCAGCATTAAGGATTAAAACTTACCACTTTACCAGGCCTTCCCCATGTGCAAATAAATCCCTCCTGACAAGCAGTGACTATACAGTCTTCAAGAAAAATTAATACAGTCAGTCTTTCATGTGCTATCTTTTTACAGATCAGTGGCTCTAACAAAGGAACATCTTCCATTCGAGGACACAGGGGTGTTCCCAAAGTTTTAGCGGGGTCCATTTTGGTTTTAGTAACTAAATTCAGTTTGTCACTGCTCTTGCTAGAAATGTGTCCCATGCTATGGTTTCGCTTGTGATCTTTCTCATGGTGCCTCTCCTTCCGGTCGTGTAGTGAGAGAGTTGCAAATTTGCTGACCCCAGAAGCAATGGCCCCATCCATGACACTGCTTTTGCTGCCAGCATTTGAGACTGTTGAATGTGGAAGGCTATTAGACCGTGGCAGAGGAGGGGGCACAGAGTTCCCGGGCGTTGTGACACTGTTCCCATTGCTTCCAGCTGGAGGACTCGTGGCATTCATGACATTTGTGTGTGTCCTTGCTCTTGAGAGAGGTTGGTGAGGGAAAAGGATGTCTTCTGTAAGGTCCCACAAACAGAGCTGTGTGTCCTGGCCCACCGAACCAAACCGATATGTGACGCTTACGGGGCGGCTGTCTGTAGAGTTCCGTTTGGACAGCCTGGACTGCGTACTATTTGCTCGATCTCTGCCAAAATGAAGAAGGTCTTGGAAGTCCTCGTCACTGCCACTAAACTCCATAGGGTCACTTTCTTCTACACTAGTGGTATAGGGATCAAATGCCACAACACTGACCCAAGATTTGTGCCCATGGCCTCTAGCTATTACTCGACAGTCTACAAAAGACCAGACTGTCACCAAGTCGTCCTCTCCACCTGTCACAATGTACTTGCCATCCGGGCTCCAGCACACACACAGCAAGCCCCCAAAGTAGCTTTTCATCGTACCATGCAGCTCCACCGAGTCAAAGTTGAACACCCGCAGAAACCCGTCCTGGCTCACGCAGGCTAAGAACTTGCCATCTGGGGAAAAAGCAAACTCGTTGAGGGCCCCCTCGCCCACCGTCCACTTGAGGAGAGGGTTCCTCGTGGATTTGCTCTTGCAAGTGTGCACGGCAAAGCTCTCTCCCTGCTTCAGAAGCTGGTAGTGGGGGGCTGTGGTGCCACAAGTGTGCTCCACATTATACAAGTACATGTTCCCACTCGAATGGGCTACTAGGAAAAGGCTTTCCGAACCGGGAACCCATTTGACACAGGTTACTCGTGACTTGTCTATTAGTCTCTGTGAAGACAAAGGAGAACATGTTATCACAATGGAGAAGTTTTAAAGGTCTACTTTTCCAGCAAGAAAACTTGTCTGCCTCTCGGTGAGAAGGCAAGAGTCCATCCAGGCACTGCACATTTTATCCTGTGGCCAGTCAAGCCAGTGAAGAGCATCTTGGCCCTGTGTAGAATTGCTTTCTACAATTGCACTTGGAGGTTAGGCCATTGGCTTTCACTGAGGGTGTCAGTCGGTCAACTAATATTTGTTGAGAGCCTGCTACGTGTCAGACACTGTACCAGGTGCTGGGATACACTGGTGAGAGAGACAGCCCTTGGACACTTTCCTTCTTACAGAAGCAGAGTCTAAATCTGTGATTCACTGCATCTACACGTGGCATCCTCTCTAGGAGGACCCACAGGAAAAATCTCAGTCCTCAAAGCCGGGAAAGCTATTATGCCTCACAGGATTCTCTGCATTTATGGTGACTGTAAGTCACATGCTGACTACATCTGGCCCTCTGCTTTGGCTACTCGAAGGTGGGGAGTCCAATCTGCAGCCCACTCCTAGCAGCACCCAGGACGTCAAAGCGCACTTCCTGGGCTCTAACTCAGCCCTGAATTCACTGAGGCCTCCTTGCTCATATGCGCCATCCTGTGTATACTTTTACAAGCATTTCCTCAAAATCTTCTTTGGAATGAGGTGGTGTTTAAAGAAATAAATAATTGTCAAAGCGCACTTCCTGGGCTCTAACTCAGCCCTGAATTCACTGAGGCCTCCTTGCTCATATGCGCCATCCTGTGTATACCTTTACAAGCATTTCCTCAAAATCTTCTTTGGAATGAGGTGGTGTTTAAAGAAATAAATAATTAATTCAGGAGTATGCTTTAATCACTATCACTCCAGTCCATGCTAATTTTTGGTCCAGTGACGTACTGTTTCTTTAACAGTACTCTTGCCTTTAAAACCAAAAGAACAAAAGGCAAAAAAAACTCCCCCAAAGGCACAAGTACCCCTCCCTGCTTGCAGACCCGGCCACAGGAATCGCTGGCACAGCAGCTTCCGCAAGGGTGAGCCCTCTCTAGGCTGCCTGGTCTCAAAATCATATCACCAGCTACAGCACAGTGTACTAACACCAAGGTCAAGGGTTTGGATCCCCATACTGGCCAGATACCAAAACAACAAAAAACAATCAAAATCACATCACCAGAAATCATCCAGAAGTTCCCAAGTCCTGCCTAGAAGCTCCAACTGCCCAACGCTCTCTGTTGCATCATCATCCCAGTAATGTGTCCCCTGGGAGCCCGGTAGCCCCCTAGGGAGTTAAACACTTGCTTCCACTTTCACCTGATTGGGATTCCCAACTTGAGGCTCAGAGGGGCACTGGGGTACCCTGATGTGGACCCTGTCCAGAAACACTGCCTGCCACCTAACTGGCCTTTGCGTCTGCTATGTGTGCTGGAGTTTTACAGAAATTTACAAACATGAAATAACTTGATTTTTAAAGAAGGGCTGGAAGAGAAGGAATTAATGAGCCATGAAAGCTTACTGCATGAAAATTAGACCTCAGAAGGTAGGTCGCTAACAAATGACCCGAGGCAGGGAAGTGGGGGTGAGGGTGAACCCTGCACAGCATGCAGACCCAGGGCCAGAGGGTGGGAGGTTGGGCAGGCGTCACTGCTTATTGCCATAGAATGGCGTGGCTTGCCTTCTTAAATTAACAGCAAGCATCATGCTGGCCTTGGAGACATAGCCAATATTTTCATTCCCCGCCTCTTTCCCTTCCTGCCTGATGACCTACCTATAAAAGGCACCTGACCTACGTTAACACCAACAACCTAAAAACCTAGGACCATTCTGGCAGGATTTCCATTAGACCTTCATTACTTCTTCAGCAAGAGATTAGAGACAATTTACAGGGCCAGGGCAGGGCTTTTTTTTTGGGGGGGGGGTGCAGCTCTACAGGGATTATGTTGATGGGGGGTTAAGAGAACCCCAAACCCCCAAATCAGAGCTCTGCGAGGCTTGCTGTTTATGACCTTGCTGCACCCACTGGGTCCAGGCTGCCCCAGAACTCCTGATCCCACAAACATGACCATGCCTAATGGCTCAATGTCTGGGGGTGTCCACAGCTCACCCCATCAGTGGTCTTTGTCAGGTGGGCGTACACAGGCTAACTCAGGGCTAGTAAGTCAGACTGCTGTCGTTATCCTAGGACAGTGGCTATCAATTCCTGCAACTTACTTTTCACCAGAACCAAATTAAATAACAATTCTTCCAAGATCACTTGATGGTTACTCTACTGTGTGTGAAAAATCTTAAGGACATAAGAACTTCTAGCAGTATGGTTATTTTGAGTCTTAAAAAAACACAACAGAATAATTCTGGCATAACTTGGAAACTGTAATACTGTCAAGTAAAAACAGTACTGCTCTGCAATGGTGAGGTATGAAGATAAGTAGTTATAGCACTGTTATTAAATTGTTACTGCAATGGCAAAACACACTAAAGAAACTTTATTCCCATATTAAAAAGTTGCAGTGAGACTACCATAAGTGGACATATAGATGTAACCAATGGACAAAGCCTGTGCTCATCTATCACACTGCCCCACCCCACCCCGGGGCACCTAATCAGACAGTACAGTCACAGTCTGGCACTGGAGGACTGGGACACGAGTTTAAGCAACTGCAGACCAAAAGGACCTTGGATCCAGCTCTAATGGGGTAAGGGTTTCTCACCTGCTCTTCCCTGTCAGTTTTCCTTATTGGATCGTGTGCTCGAGGATGGGGAAAAATGTGCTCTTCATCTAAGGGTGCCCTGTGTCTCAACCACAGCTCAGGTGTATGGCAGGCAGGCCTCAAATATGCGAGCCACATCAACAGAAGCACCTGTCCTAACTTCCAACCTGAGTATTTGCTGTGGGTGCCAGGCACTGGTAAGAGGCTTCATACCCATGCTATCTAAAGCTCAAGATAACTTGCAAGGTAAGCTTTTTTTTTGAATAGGTAATGTATTCATAATTCAAATGAAAGTATACAGTAGAAAATCTCACTCACACTCTTCTCCTCCATTTCAAACCCTCTGTCCCCTGATATTAGCTTCTTGTTTATCTCTCCAGAGTGTCTTCACGCATGTACTAGCCAAACACGAGTACAAGTTTATCTACTCTCCTTTTCAGATGAAAGGAAGCAAACTACGCACTCTCACCTCTGCTTTCCCCTTCAGTACTGCATCTGTACAACCGTCTGTATGGGCACAAAGACAGCTTCCTCTTTCTTTTCTAAAGCTGCAGAGTACTCGATTATGGATATACTGCAGTTTATTGTAAAAGTCCCCCAGTGAGGGACATTTATGTAGCAAGGAACAACCTTATACATGGGGCAGTTCTCACATGTATGAGTAGTACACCTGCAGGGTAAATTCCCAGTGGAATAACTGGGTCAAAAGATATATATGTTTATAATTTTTATAGATATTGCCAAACTGCCTCCCACGGAGGATGTAACAATTTATATTCCCATTGGCAGTGCAGTAGTGCCTATTTCCCTATAGGAAAGTAGGTATTATTGCCATATTAACCATGAGGAAACAGAGGCTCAGAGAGGTCAAGAAACCTGCATGAAGTCTCATTCATTCATTCATTCATTCATTCATTCATTCAGTAGTGGGTGCACACCATATGCACTGACATGCACTGACACAGCACTAATTCAAATAGACATCCCTTCCCACACAGAATTCATGCTCAAGTGGGATGAGAAGATAAGTGAAATTTATAAGATCTGATGGCAATAAGTGCTGTGGAAAAAACAAACAAACCAGGAAGTGCTGGGGGGAGGGGATTAAGTGATTTCCATCTCAAATAGGATGGCCCAGAAGGGCCTCTTTCTCTGCTGGTGCAGGACACCTGAGCAAAGACCGGAAGGATGGCAGAAAGCAGGGTGAGAGGACGTCAGGCAAGTGTGCCCACACAGGGGGAGCAAGCACAAGGGCCCCGAAGCGGGAGCGAGCCCAGCCCATCAGAGGCACAGCAGACAGCCACTGCAAGAGGGGCAGAAAGGCAAAATGGAAAACCAGTGCAGGCCCATCAGATCCCAGAGCGGGTATGCTGCCTTCTGTCCCACAGAAAAACGTCAACTAGCTTTGAAAAGCAGCGCCCATCAGAGGCACAGCAGACAGCCACTGCAAGAGGGGCAGAAAGGCAAAATGGAAAACCAGTGCAGGCCCATCAGACCCCAGAGCGGGTATGCTGCCTTCTGTCCCACAGAAAAACGTCAACTAGCTTTGAAAAGCAGCAGGGTAGGAACAGGGTGCCAGCCTACTTCGGACCCCAGGGCCAGGGTGGGAAGCAGAGCTGGAGGGCGAGTTGGTAGAGAGTCAGTTAATTTGAACTGCTCTGGGTTGCTATCTGGTTTGGGTTTAACAAAAAGGGAAGAGAACAGAAAGCATTTTACTCCTGTCTTTCAAATTAAGGAACAGAAATAACTGCAACATTTTATTCAATAAATATAAGATCAAAAATTATGCAGCCCAATTTCTGCACCATAAGGATATATTTTTGCTCCAGAAAATATCTAGTAAAGAAAAGAAAAAAATCTTAGTGGCCAATGCTGAGTAATGGGATTTCCTGTTGGACTTGAATTCTCTAGTATCAATGGGGCCTTGACCTGGATGAGCATGTTGAAAAAACACTCCGGGCAAAACTCTGGTCCCTCTGAGGAGTTTCCAGGATAGAGACGGGACAAGGATGCTGAGAGAGGCAGGGGCACAAGGGGCAATCCTTAGAGGACAGAGGGCCTGTGCAAGGGGGGACAGCCCAGCCAAGGCTCAGAACAGAACAGTCCATGGGGGATCTACGGTCGTGTGCAGCATTTGTTTTGGCTGAAGCCCCTGAGTAGGGGCAGGGAATTAGGTCTAGAATCATGAGCTGGGACTCAGGGCTGTGAAGTCCCAGGCTAAAGGGCTTGGGCAGTGACCTGAAGCCCTGCACTGCCCAGTCCTATAGCAATGGTCCGAAG